ATTTATGTATAGTATAAATTCATAGTAATTAATGAACATAATAAAATACCCTTACATTATGAGATTCTATTGAATAATACTGGCCAAGATTTAAAAAATAAATAATTCATTTTCATTTGAAATGCAAATTTTTTTGAAAATTTACCTTTGCGTCTCTGACGTATTTTTCTGTCCTAAATATTGCAGTTAATTTGGCTCTAGTTTTCTCACTTTTTACCGATTCAAACCAAACATCCTGCACATAATCGAGAAATTACCAGAGTTTCATAAGTCACACTTGTTGGTCACGAAATTATAGGTTTTCCAAATCGTCCAGCACGGAGAACAAATTCGTTAAGTTAAGATAACAATCCTAATAGTTACTTTCACATGGAAAAATATTGTTGTTTGAAAGAAACCTATAGTTATTCCAACATTAATTTGACCGTCAACTCAATCATATCTACCTTATAGATTCAACTGTTCATCTTATACTCAATTCAACTATAACTTTGATCAATTATAACAACCGTCGAATGTAATTTAGTTATATAATTTGGTTTCAAGTGATTATCATAAATCCACATACTTTTAACTTGTGATGCGTAGAGCAGGCGATAAGATAGCTGGCTCTCACGCAGATGAACACGGTTTAAATTTAGTTGAATGTTCTTGTTCACCTTTTTTATGATTTTGCAGTTGTGTTTTTGAGATCGATAAAGAAGCAAAACAAACTTCCTTAATATGTCGATAATGAAGAGCAGTTCGTTCGTTTAATAAACATTGTAAAATTTTGCTTCCCTAACAATAGTTTTCTTGAATCAACTAAAGCATAGTTGTATTTTGAAGTTTGACGTTTGTTCATCTATTGAAAAATATAGTTGAGCCAACCGAGGAGCCAACTAAGGACTATAGTTGTTGCCCTCTATATACAGTCAAATCAACTATAGTTTCGGGTTATCTCTAAAACAATTGAACAATATTGTTATTTTGACCGGAAAAATAATTACGTCTGCTTTAGTTTTTTCTCCGTGAGGACATCAGTTGATTTGTTCTACTAGATCAACCAAGACTGCAATAATGTCTGTAATATCGAAAAATTTCCAACCAGATTCAATGTGTCTATGTGGATCATGCATGATCTATTTCCGAGTAAGCCAGATGTTCAAGGTTCTTCAAATCGTCCTGGAGTGCATATAATTTTATCTACTAGATCAACCGAGATTAGGACAATGTCTCTAGTATCGAAAGATTTCCAGACAGATGCACAGTGTTTATGGGGATCATGCATGAACTATTGTCATGTATAGCAGATGTTTTAAGTTCTCCAAGTTGTTCTGGAGTTCAGATGATTTATTCTACAAGATCAACCATGACTGGGATAAAGTCTGTAGTATCGAAATATGTCCAAACAGCTTCATGGTGTCTATACAGATAATGTTAAATTATTTTCACGTATACCAGATGATCTTGGTTCTCCAATTCGTCCAGCAGTTCAGATGATTGGTTTTACTAAATAAACAAAGACTAGGATAATATCTGTGTTATCGAAATATCGACTTGGAAATCCTTGAACATTTGGCATACACGGAAATAGATTGGCATGATCGACATAGACACTGCAAATTTGTTTGGGCATATTTCGATACTACAGATATTGAATTAGTCTTAGGTGATCTAATAGAAAAATAATCTGATCTCCAGAATGATTTCAGATCATTATGTATACGTAGCAATAGGTCGGGTACAATCCACATAGACACTTTGAATCTGTTTGGACATATTTCGATACTACAGAAACTATTGGAGTCTTGGTTGATATAGTAGAACAAATCACCTGAACTCCAGGACGATTTGGAGAACCTAGAATATCCGGTATACATGCAAAAATTACTCCCATATATACGATTCGTTTATGATTTGACAACGAAAAATACTATGTTCATATTGTAAAAAAAGGAAAATGTCTCACATTGGACAGACCTCAGGACATTTCCGTGTAAATCCGGTGTGACTTATGGAATTGAGATCATTTCTCGATTATTTGCAGCGTGTTTGGTTCGAAACGGTTAAAAATTGAGAGCCTAATGAACAAACATGATGACAGCAAATGAATTCCACGTTTTTGTGACAGCACATCAGTCTCTTCGCGATTTTCGCGACATAATTTAATGTTTCCGCGATTTTCGCGACTGAAAGTTCAAATCCGCGACAAATCCGCGAAAATCGCGAGATCCGCGAAATTCGCGAAATCCGCGCCTGTTGTAACAGCCCTGGAAAGGTAAATTACATAGACTGTGAACCATTTGCCCAGTTAAATTTAACTCGTGGTTAAAAGTTTCGAAAGTTATTTTCAATATTTGAAAATCCCTGTGGTACCGGATCAATCAGTTTTCGAGCAGAACTCAGCCACGGTTGTCAAAATTTAACTTCTTGTCGGTCATAAATAACCATACTCGGATATCAGGGCTCATGTTCAAAAGAAGGGAAAATAATAATTTAATTTGTGTTTTCCTTACTTTTGACCATTTGATGTTTATGATATATCCTGCATTTTTTCACATTCATGTCAAATGGCTATTTTGCCAAACGACAGATATACCAAATCGTCATTATGCCAAAAGGGTATTCCCGCGGATTGTGCTTTTATACGAAGGACATTAAATCGAAACTCTACATATACAAGTTATTAGGATCAAAAAATCTTCCTAATTGACAATTCAGTCCGAAGCGCAGACTCGGCTAAGAAATAATTTGGTAAGGAGCCATTTCCTCTTATAAATTTACATATTCAACGTACACATGCATTAATAGGCGAATGGAAAAAGAGAAAAACAAACAAATATCTCTTCACAATCTATCATCGCGTATTGCATTTCAATCGCTAGTTTAATTTAGTCGGAAATAATTGGCGGTAGGTATCCACATATGCGCCGCCGAGTGAAGTAGCAAATTTGGTTTTCTGTAGATAGAGTTCAACGTTGAAATTCCAAACGTTGGGCAATTCATCAAGTTGTAAAAAAATCAACAACTCGGAATGACACTTCCCACAATCAGTCGTTGTATAATATAGTATCAAGAAGGTACTCAACTACACAAAGGGGATTTTCTTTTATTCCTCTTATCGCGCAATAGTAGTAACTGATTGCAACAAAAACTATCACCCTTGGTGACTCCTTTATGGACAGTAGGTATGTAGTCTATTTTCGAGTAAAATTACCCAGACCTAGAGTGCTATTTTCTCCTTGCTTGGCAAGATTGGTTTTTTCCTGCTTTGAATTGCATAGGTACTAAGAAGCTGCCGGTTGCCGAATTTCTCTCCCTCTCTCTTGGACACGTCCGGTTTCACAGAATAACGCAAAATATCAACGGAACGGCGAAGTTCCATTTTTACTCCTTTCCCGTCGTGCACCCTTGCGTCAGTTTGGCCCAATAATAATTATTATTGTTAGTCACTTCAGCATTGTGCAGCATTTTGGCTCCATATTCCGTAGACGGACTGAATGTTGGAAGTTGGAATAAGGTAAAGCAAAAACGCGATGTTGCTCCCTCTCTCTATCTTTGTCTGTCTCTCTTGATGTGTACGTTGGTATTCTATTCGCCTAGTGGTGCGAACAAGCGGATATCGTGGGTTCATAAGAGGTGTGTGCGTCGTCAAGTGATCGCAGAAGTGACTAATGTGCCACATCAGGGAGATTGCTAGTGTGCAGAGCACTGTGAGGCACTCTTTGATCATGTTTATGCATCGGAGACTCAAGAGCTCGGATGGATTCTCAGGATAAGTGCAGAGGGTTTCCACAGCAAATCCAAAATTCTTCGAAGTGTAGCCAAACAAATTTCATGATCAAATCAAGAGATCATCAACCAGTGGCACCTTCGAGAAATATCAATATGTTACCTAATTCAACAATTCGAGAGGACTTCGTGGGAAAGAGGAGAACACTACACTAATAATTGAAACAAGCGGAACAAACAAACGTAAACAATGACATTAAATGCAAATTTCTCGAGATCAAAACACACTCACGCAAACTAACAATGCCATTCGATAAAGGAAGTTTTTGCTCTTCCTGATGCTGATTTTGGATTGCGTGGATGTGTTCTGATTCTCGAGAAATTTGCGTTTAAAACCATTGTTTGCGTGTTTGGTTTTAATAGTTGGTCTAAAACATTCCAAAAAGCTCCTCAAGGCCAGAGAAGTTTTAGATTGGATCCAGAAATAATACCAAAAACAAGCTCACTGAGCAGTGAACCTCAAAAATATGTTTCAAAAGGACCTCGATTATAAGCCCAAAGGAGCTCCAGCCATACTCCTCCGGGAAGGCTACATATGCTAACCCAGCTGGATGTACGTTTAGAAGACCTCTATTATAAATACAGATTACTAAAGACTTCAAGGCCGAGCCGAGCGAAGCATAGAAATTGAAACCATTGTTTACGTTTAGTTGCTGCTGAAAAACATCAGCTTACTATTTGACCAAGGAAAATGTGAATATTTATCTTTATGCTAACAGGCAGTTCTTCTTCAGAGGACGGATCCTTAGAGCAAGTATTATAATAATGCTTACTAATAATATAGTAATAATACTTGGGACAATTTTGCACAAAGAGGCTACCACTCTACTGAGCGCAGTGGAACGCATACACATTCGCCAGCAAATAGGTACTACACTATACAGGCCATATCGCGTCAGCACCAAATGTTGCTCATTCTGCACACAATCAGTCGCGAGACTGTTGCGAGCACCGGACTCCCTCGGAAATCAGAGAGTAGGAGAAACAACCAAGACGAAGACGTCCACAGGCAACTAAAAGACGTTCCAAGAGCAAACACAACTACGACGACGTGGGGCAAATTCCCTTAGAGTTTCTTCTTCTTGGCTACTGATTGAATGCTTGCTATGAGCCGCTCCCCGTCGTTTATCGGTTCCATCCCGATACCAATAGGTATCTGTCTCGAGGCTGTCCCACGCCATAATCCCCCCCCTAATGAAGGTGAATAAATAAAAGCTCGGACTCACCTGTTTTCCGTCGACCTCGATATCGGCCACATAGTTCTCGAACACTGTCGGCACGTACACCTCCGGGAATTGATCCTTGCTGAAGACGATCAGCAGACATGTCTTACCACAGGCACCGTCGCCGACGATCACGAGCTTCTTTCGGATGGCTGCCATTGGTTCTGGTTACGGATAAAATTCCGGTGCGAGGCAGTTTCCGATTGGTGTGTATGAGGTAGGTCGTCGCGTGATCAAGTCGCGAACCAGACGATGATTTAGCAACGTTGGCGGTGATGAAGATTCCGGAGAATATGTGTGATAATATTCCAATTTGCCCAGCGCGAAAGAACAGTCGACAGAAGAGCGATCCAGTGGGACGAATACGATGAAACAGCGTTTGTCCGCCCGTAGAGTGTTGGATCCGAGTATGAGTGATGGTGACGATGACGATGATGGGGCACACACAAGCACACGGTTGGTCAAATATTCCAATCAATTTTCGGTACGGATTATTTTTTCAGCGTTGAATTTTCCACAATTCACCACAGCACACGCGAAGAGATTTTCCGGAAAGATAGAACAAGAAAAACAAACATTAGAACAATGGAACTTTTACTAATTTCGATTCACTATCTTTTTATAGCTACAATGATTTGCCTTTCATACGGCAGAAGTAGAAATTTTCAAAATCTTCTCACAAAAACTTTTTCTTCGCTTACTCGATTTTCTACAGCAGGAAACGTGAATCCGAGTTAAAAACTAAAAAATATCACTTCAAAAATTCCTTCTTCTGGTTAAAACAACATAAAAAATTGAATAACTACTAGAGTAGGTGTAGAATAAAAAGGCTGCGATGGAGATGAACAACGCCTAGTGGTAAGATTTTCTCCTTTTTGCGAGCGTACGACGAACGGTCGTCGGTCTGTAGTTATAGGGGTGTGTTGCCTGTTGGTTGCCTGGCTTGTCGTTTGACACTACCAAACCAGCGAGCCAAGTCTCTTTGCTCTCTTGTTTGCACTCTCTCACCCACCGTGGCTGGATACGAATCCGACGTCTGACACACAGGCGACGATGATGACCACGAAATTCAGCCACAACCAACAGGGTTCGCGACGGATGAAAAAGTACAAAATGGCGATTGAGAGCGAATTTGCCACTTTCCGGAGCGAGTGAGTTTCGCTCTCCCAACAGAAACCGAAAGTCAGAAAGGCCTTTTCGGTTGAAAACAGTTGGTAATACAATGAGTGATTTTCTGAAAACATTCCACCGTTCTGTCTCTACAGAGGCAATAACAGCTCTCTGCTACTAATACTACTACAATTCACTCAATCTGTCTGATGCAGCGTACGGGAACTGGCGTATCATCGGTATATGAATGAATGCATTTTTGTAGCACAGCCAGGTGTTTGTGAAAATGTCGGCTAGTAACTCACCCATATCAGTGCAACTATGCGGGGTGTGTTTTGTTGAATCATTCAACATACTCGGAATGCGCAACACAGAGCAGAGGATACGAGCGAGAGAACGAGATAAACCGGGCAGAAGAGAATTCCAATAGGAACCACAGATGCCTCCCTATACAAAAATGAATGAGTCACAACAAAGTTGTAAAAGATGACAGTAGTAACCAGTGTTGGCAGACACGAATGAAGATTGTGCTACACTGCAAAGGGTCAGAGTGTCCGTTCGATTTTTGCGACAAGCCTGGAAATTGAATGGAGCCAAAATCGAACTTTTTTTTTATTATTTTACACGGCTGATAGCAGTGTTGAGCAATAAAAATATTGATTTAGTGACCAAAATCATTTAAAAAAGTTACCCATATGTGACTTAAAAATTATCATAAAACTTTCGGAATCATTGAATATTGTTTGATCATTAAAAAAAAAGGCAAGCATCGATCGATTTCCTATTCGTACGCATTCGTCAAAAGTTTGTTTTGCAAGATCTTGCAAAAATAGATTACCAACTAACAACACTGTATAACACGACCTTCAAGAATAGTGATATTTTACCATATTTGAGTTTCTTATGGTCTTCTGAATAAAAGTCTAGAATTGAGATTTAGATGACGTCGCCCCCCTCGGCCAAGACAGGATCGAGCAAGAGATCTTATTGCAGAAAATCTTCAGAATCGTCATCTAACCACAGCAGAGTCGCCCCGCGGTCTTGGCTTTCGAGATTAATTTGTTTAGATTCTGAGACTTTTAATATTTTCAAGCTTTTGAATTTTGTGGAAATTTGATGGATTTTTTTTTTTCAATTTAGAAGTTCCGAGGTGAACATATGTGTTTAAATATTATAATTCTTCTAGTAATTTTCGAGACGAAAATATCAAGGGAAACATTGGGCACAAGAGAAACTTATATCAATGCCGACTAATTTAAACTGTAATGATAATCGTAAGACGGGCCAAAAACATCTCATCTCTCTCCTTTGGCTTGTTTTTTCCGTCGATCTTGTTTTCCGTGCTGAGCACCAATGCTACCGACGTGCCAGGAAGGCAGCTCCCACACCTGGACCCTACATATCGACCCATCAACTCATGAACCGGGGACCAACGGCTTTACTTCCCATCCGAAGGAAGGCGTGATCAGAAACATCTCTGATCACGCCTTCCTTCGGATGGGAAGTAAAGCCGTTGGTCCCCGGTTCATGAGTTGATGGGTCGATAGGTATAACATCCCGGCGGCGCCGACTGGGATTGAACCCAGGCCTTCTGGGGTGAGAGGTAATCACGCTTACCACTACACCACCGGCGCCGTTAATTTTCGCAATCTTAAAAACATTTCATTGTGTTGGGACGACCTTGGCGTAGTGGTTAACATCCATAACTCTCACGCCAAAGCAGGCATGGAAAATCATTTACATTCATTTCATCATCAACATGTTTCAAATCTGTATAGGATTAACTACCCTATTTCCGGTCTATTAAGCACTACCCGCACTTAGTCTTTCTTAATCTAGCGTAGTTTAGCACCAAATGGAATGTTATTATTACTGATGGCTTTCAAATTTATTTACCTTTCCGTACGTACCGTAAGATTTAACAAAACAGAAACAAATTGTTGAGATATTTTTAAAAGCCTAACACTGCTTCTTGACGCCAAACTCGGACTACGGATTCTAAATTCGACCTAACGCATTGAAACGCAATTGAATTCACGTCGGCCTATCGGATGAAGATAAAAATTGATTTGGTCGGAGCGCTTCATTTGTTTTTGAGAACATTGGGCACCGACAAACCGACATGAATGACCATAGCAAAAACAATAAAATTTCTGACCAAAGCACACTACTGACATCTGGCTCCGTGTTCGTGGGAATATTTATCTAATCCATGAACCCGCATGCAAATATCACGCGTTTTTATTGACTTCGTTCGGTAGCATATGAACTAAAGTATCGTACCAAACCCATAATTTGCCTGTTAAAAGCGAAATCTCGCGTAACATTTGAATAGGGCCTATGATCAAAATGTAAACAAACCGATTTTTGATACCATTCTGTAGCACTGGTAATTAGCTACCAGTCGTATAGGAATGTTCCGCATTATCGATAAAAATCATTAAAAATAACTTGATTTTAAAAACGGCCGATCCACGAAATTTTTCCAATCATTCATGCTAAAACGGCCTAACCTCGGGCTTAACATAAATTTTTTTTCGTTCGATGAAGTTCCATTCATAAGCCTAGCGACGTAGAAGGGCCGATGATTGAAAAATTTCAAATCAAAGCTAGGCCCTACTGCTTGAGGCAGGGCCGATGATTTATTTGACGTTAAGAAAAGGCTTAGCAAAGGGCCTACAATTTATGATGACAAGCACAACGGCTTAACAAAAAGGGCCTAACCATTTAAAGATTCACAAAAAGGCTTATTACTGTGATATTACATTTTTATCGTTTTTCATGTATTTTTGAAAACGTTTCGCATGTTTTGGATGTTGTGTACTGAGATATAGTTATTATTGTTATTGTGAACAATATAAATGCCTAAAATACTTCAATTTATTTATATAGGAATTAAATACTGGCGGAAAAAATTACAATTCATTTTCTGGATTGTTTACATTTTGGACATAGGCCCTTTTCAAATGTTACGCGAGAAATCATGGATTTATTTGATGTTTTCTACTTGATAGGCCCAAAATGGGCGCTTAGGTAGTTCTCTACTCTATGTTAGGCATGCTGATCCAGAGCGAACAGAACCAAGCATTGTTTTTCAGTGAATTGAAATGCAATACACGATGATAGATTGTGAAGAGATAGGGGAAATGTCTCTAATGTTGGCCTATGGATCTAAGATTGGGCCCATCGCTAACAATCTGCTATTTATCAATTTTATCTAGATGAACGCGTCATTGGTTGCTACTGAAAATTTAGTCGATTGCTGAATTTATGTATGGGCCCAAATTAGGGACACTTAGGCCGACATTACCTGCATTTCCCCTATTTGTTTGTTTTTTCTCTGTATCCATTCGCCTATTAATGCATTTGTACGTTGAATATGTAAATTTATAAGAGGAAATGGCTCATTACCAAATTATTTCTTAGTCGAGTCTGCGCTTCGGACTGAATCGTCAATTTGGCAGATTTTTTGATCCTAATAACTTGTATATGTAGAGTTTTTATTTAATGTCCTTCCTATTAAAGCACAATCCGCGGGAATATCCTTTTGGCATGATTACCATTTGGTATAACTGCCGTTTGGCATAATAGCCATTTGACATACATGTGAAAAAATAAAGTTTATTGTCTTAATTGCTTGATTATCATGATCTGTAGTATACACACTTAGAAATTATCACCGACTTCGTGACTATGTATTCTAACATAAACTGAAGCACTAGTTCAATTTTGTCCCTTAAAACTTGCATGCACAAGTTTATCCACCTTTTTCCTCCTCGCGTTGCTTTTCCAGACCTCGTTTGCAAATAATGTATTGTATAATAATTAATGTAGTCATGCCTCGTAGCTTCGACCAGCTCGACTGTCAGGCAGCGTTACCAGGTTGCCAGATTTATCTGGACAGTCAGAGAAATTTATGCTCTGCCAGAAAGTTTTTTTTGAGAAATCTGGCAGATTCCCTATGTTAATTTGCTGCGCCAGACTTTTTTTTCGGGCTTTGTTTTTTAAATAAACCTGGCATCTCTGCTAGCATCAGCATCAGCATAGATCCGCT